GAATTAATACATGTTTTATTTTCTGTATTTCTCCCATGTTCATTTCTGACTTCTCTCCGATTTCAACCTTCTAGATGGCTGCCGAGTTCAACCCAGTCCTGCTGCCGGAGTTTTGCCAGCCGGAAGAGACGATGCCTTTCGGCAAGCAGCTGATTCAGATCATCAAGGAGTTGAAGATTGCTCTGCCCTCTATCACCAGGACTCCTACCAACGCACTTCCGGCAGACACTCGCTATAGGATTGTGGTGCACAATCCAGGGAGGACTTTCGGAAGCTTCTCAGAGCCCATTGACTTCCAGTTTACCTCGCCTACTTGGATCCTCGGGAGGGACATGGCTATTCATCATGCACTTGGACACATCCAGGAGGAGTACAGGGCCGAGCTCATCGGATCAGACCTCACCATGATCTCCCGCAGAACAGTAAATGGAGAGATCGTATGCATCGTGAATGACAACTCCATCATCACATATGTCCAAGACCTGGAGACTCACATCGGGACTCTGGAGGTTCAGACGCGTAGAAGCTTGAAGTGTTCAGGAAGTTATTCCATGAACTGGAGTTGGTGGACAAAGCACGCGAGGACCACGATGAGCATGTAGAAGTCAAGGACCTTCTGGAAAGAATCCAGAACTTGAAGACTTATATTGCCGCGATGGAAGAGAAGATGGACATGGGAGAAGATCTCTATCCGAGTGGTGACGATGGACCCGTAGTGAGCAATAATGAGGACTACGAGGAGAGCTCTGCTGAAGGACGCACCACCGAAGGACGCACACCGAAAGACGCACTGCCGGAGGATGCAAAGATATCTGAGTTGAACACTTAGTCATGACTGACCGCCATGTTACTTTTATATTATCGTTGATCAATTAGGCCGATGTTTTCAATTTGTCGTAAGATTTGTATCCAGAGTTTGAACTATGATTGAATTGAATAAATGAATGATTGTTGTGATAATGTTTGCGCATGCATATGGGTATTGTATTTTACTCTTTAGACTCTTATTCTATTCTAATTTCTTATCCACTCCAAAACATCAGATGCCTCCGAGACGTGACCCCGAATTCAACATACAGGTCAGGTTATCGACAGGGCGGGTGGCAGTGGATTGTTGTTGTTGTTGTTGTTGCCTTGGTTCTGGATGAGCATCTGCATCAAGGCATTTTGTTGTTGGATCAGTTGAGTGAGCTCCGGGGGAAAGTTGAATCCGGGGTCACGTCTCGAAGGCATATGATGCTTTGGAGTGGATGAGAAATTAGAATAAAATAAGGGGACAATTGCATTTTTACCCCTAGTTGGTTCCTACCCACGGGTTTTGCCCTTACTTTTCGAGCTTGCTCAGTTTTGCCCTTAGTTTTTCCATCGAGGTCCCTTGAATGCCCTTTGACCGTTTGACCAAAACTTAGAAAATTCATAACTAATTCATATGAACTCAGAAAAATGCAAATAAGATACCAAAATGTTCATATAAACATTACCTTTATGGGCATATCATTTGCATTCAGGACAAAAGCATCATTTAAATTACCCGAGGTAATTAATGTTATTAACATTATTAAAAATAAGTAGGTATAAACAATATTTTTTTCGTGAATAAAAATTATATGCAAATGTAGGTGATGTTTTATGAACATCCTGATACCTTATTTGCATTTTCTTGAGTTTGTATCAACTTGTTATGAAGTTTCCAAATAATGGTCAAAGTCGTTAGAACATTCATAACAAGTTGTTACAAACTCAGAAAACTGCAAATAAGTTATGAGGATGTTCAGAAAACATCACCTACATTTGCATGTAATTTTTATTCATGAAAAAAATATTGTTTATACCTATTTATTTTTAATAATGTTAATAACATTAATTAACTCAGGTAGTTTAAATGATGCTTTTGTCCTGAATGCAAATGATATGCCCATAAAGGTAATGTTTATCTGAACATTTTGATATCTTATTTGCATTTTTCTGAGTTCGTATGAATTAGTTATGAATTTTCAAAGTTTTGGTCAAACGGTCAAAGGGCATTCGAGGGACCTCGATGGAAAAAGTAAGGGCAAAACTAAGCAAGCTTGAAAAGTAATGGCAAAACCCGTGGGTAGGAACCAACTAGGGGTAAAAATGCAATTGTCCCTAAAATAAGGGTCTAAAGAGGAAAATACAATACCCATATGCATGCACAAACATTATCACACCAATCATTATTTATTCAATTTAATCATAGTTCAAACTCAGCACACAAATCTTACGACAAATCGAAAACATCGGCCTAATCGATCAACGATAAAATAAAAATAACATGGCAGTCATGACTAAGTATCCTCCTCAGATATCATTGCGTCCTCCAGCGATGCGTCTTCCGATGTTGCGTCCTCCGGTGGTGTGTCCTTCAGCAGAGCTCTCGTCGTAGTCCTCATCATTGCTCACTACGGGCCCATCATCACCACTCGGATAGAGATCTTCTCCCAGGTCCATCTTCTCTTCCATCTCGGCAATATATCTTCAAGTTCTGGATTCTTTCCAGAAGGTCTTTGACTTCTTCATGCTCATCGTGGTCCTTGCATGTTTTATCCTCCAACTCCAGTTCACGGAACAGCAGCTTCCTGAACATCTTCAAGCTTCTATGCGTCTGAACCTCCAGAGTCCTAATGTGAGTCTCCAGGTCTTAGACATATGAGAGGATGGAGTCGTCATTCACTGTGCGCACGATCTCTCCATTTGTAGTTTTGCGGGAGATCATGGTGAGGTCTGAATCGATGAGCTCGGCCCTGTACTCCTCCTGAATGTTTCTAAGTGCACAATGAATAGCCATGTCCCTCCCGAGGATCCAAGTAGGGGGGGTAAACTGGATGTCAATGGGCTCTGAGAAGCTTCCGAAAGACCTTCCCTGGAATGTGCACCACAATCCTATAGCGAGTATCCGCCGAAAGTGCGTTGGTACGAGTCCCGATGATAGAGGGCAGAGCAATCTTCAACTCCTTGATGATCTGAATCAGCTGCTTGCCGAAATGCATCGTCTCATCCAGTTGGCAAAACTCCGGTAGCAGGACTGGGTTGAACTCGGCGGCCATTTAGAAGGTTAAAATCGGAGAGAAGCCAGAAATGAACAAGGGAGAAATACGGAAAATAAAACATGTAGTAATTCTTCCTATGGCTTTCCGATCCTAGGGGTACTTCCTACGGTCAACGTGTGCTCTGAATACCATCTCTGTATGGGTGATACTCTGTAAGGTTGCTCGAGTACAGAAACACCTTGTTGTTGGAGCTTGTGATAGTATGGGTGATCTCCCTGGAAGCTTCAATCTGTCTGAGTGTGATGAAAGCAGGGTTGTTCAGATATGGAAAGACGCATCAGTGTTTTGGATCAGGTGCTCTACAATTCAACAAGCAAACACTACTAGGGAAAAGCTTATAGGTAGACGCTTACTAGTAGCGTGGGTTTATACCCCTTGCTACTGCTACTTACTAGTAGCGCGGGTTTATAAACCCATGCTACTACTAAGTTGATAGTAGTAGTGCGGGTTATAAACCCTCGCTACTAGTAAGTGCTCTCCACCGTGCCCCCGGGACATGCCTAAACATAGCACACGGAGGCCCAATCCCAGACCCACACCCTCTCGATTTCACTTCTCCCTCCCACCTGAGATGCCCTTCCTCGCCCACCGCAACTGCCGACCTCACACCTCGACATCTCCCTCAAATCCAGCGACCTCCTCTTCCACCGCAGCCCCCTCCCCTGCCCCTCCTTCCTCCTCCTCCTCCGCTACTGAAAGGAGAGGGAGATCTAGCAGAGCACTGCCCATGACGATGGCCAGATCTCTGATGGAGGCAACCCATGGCATCATTTAGGGTTTCGGCCCCAACTACGACAGCCACCGATGAGTTGCTGCACCTACTCCTCTCTATCTCTCTCTTCCTCTTCTAATCCTTTTCTCTTTTTTTGTAGAAGCAGCAAAGGAGATTGTGGAGAAGAGTTGGATGGGGAAGCACCATCACCATGGACGACTTCATCCCCTCCAGGATCAGCATCGGCCATGGATGAAGAGGACGATGACGCCAAGCAGGAGTAGCCATGGCTGGAATTTATTTTTTTAATTCCTAATTAGTTAGTAGTAGCGACGGTCCAGACCCATGCTACTACTAACTAGTAGTAGCGCGGGTGGCACCCACGCTACTACTAACAGAAGTAGGCACGCTACTACTACCAGTTAGCTGTAGCGCCGTAGTAGTAGCGCGGGCACCCGCGCTACTACTAGTCTTTTACCCCGCGCTACTACTAGGCTTTTTCCTAGTAGTGGAAATGTACAAGAAAACGAATGTTGCTCATGTGCTACCAAACTCAGCAAATGCAATGAAATTTATTAAGATATAAACAATACTAGCAATGTGCCTCTACTAATTACCACTGAAAGTGATACTATCAACATAGCAAATGGTTAAGTCTGAAACTATGTTCACTAGTATGAACATACGAAGATACCACTGAAAGTCTAAACTTATGTACAGTCTTATGAACAAAACCCACAAAACCCGGGAAGTCTGAAAATATATTCAGTCGAACGAACATACTACTGGAAGCTGAAACTATGTTCAGTGGTACAAACGTACAACTAGAAGTCTGAAACTAAACTATGGAGATAGCAATCATCTATCATATGAAATATACAAAATTACTAGTGTCAGGCAAAAGTGTTCCATAACTCAGCAAATGCAGTGAAATATATGAAGCTATGAAGACATAGGCAACACTAGAATATGTCATGGACGCAGGAAAGGCTGAAACCATCGACGCAGGAAATAGGAGGTCGTATGAACACCGTGTATCATAAACTAAACAAATGGAATGTGCAAAACAACCAATGTTAGGCTCGGATGCTCCAAAACTCCACAAGTGTAATGAAATATATGATGAAGCTATATAGACATAAAGAACATTGGCAATATGAATATAGTAACTATGACTGAAACTGTCGACAGGACAAGTCATGTGAAAGAAAAAGTATCTAGTTCCTGTTTTGCTTACCGGTGGTAGTAACTATGACTGAAACTGTCAACAGGGCATAAAGAACAATTGCACTTTTCTTGTCTTGCTCAGCCTTCTCAACAATGAATTTGGCATGCTCAGCTTGGTGTGCAGCAACCTGTTCAGCTTCAATGGCATGAGTGAACTCTTTACCAAAATTGAGACTAGTAACGGACACACCATCCAGAGCAATATTGAAATTCTTAGCCTCACTGTCAAAATCTCCCTGATCTCCCTGCTCACAGCCTGCCATTACATAAAGGATAAGTTAGCAACCTATTCCAAGTAAGACCAGCTATTATCTACTATAGCATGGAAAACACGTACACATGGCAAACATGGTGAAGCTGTACCTCTCTCTGTGTGATTAGCTGACTTGCATTGTATTGGGCAACCACAGCTTTGAGTGTTTCAAATTATAGCTCTCCCTCAGGGTCCTGTACATAGTTGGTAGTCTCTTTGGCATGGGCCGTGTAAGAACATGAATATCAATTCTCACCTGCCCAAATTATCAAGCGTTATCAAATATATGCAGTGAGCGGCAGTGTAAATTCTACTTTTGAAAAGAAAAGAAGTGCATGACCACTAATAAATTCACATAGTCGGAATGATATAACTTGTTCAGCATCAGCTAACTGTCTTAAATCGTCATGGAAAGACATAATGATGAAGCAAAAGAAGTACTTGTGACTGCTGTTAACAGATTCAAAGCGAATGAGTTGACATGCTTATTCACAGGCAATATATAATGGTGACCACTGCTAATAAATTAAAAGCAAATGAGCTAAAATGCTTATTCACAGAGCAGTAGATGCTAGATAGTCCATAGGCTACAATGCTGTAGGATTTCATAGATCAACTGACATGAGCTGCAGTAAAATCCAAGTGAGTCAACAAAAATATACTTCATTGATGGCAGGTAAGCTATGACAACCATTGTCACGGTAACTCGACAATTAGAAAAGATTACAAAAAACCACAGAAGTACAGAAGTTTATGGTCCTGGGCATCAAGCTGTCCTGTGTTGAATTGTGTAAAATAACAGACAACAGATGCAATGCCTCGTAGAACTCGTAGCAGCAATGAAATTCGCAGCATGAAAGAAACAAGCCAAGATGAACATGAAAAGGCCAACATACTCACCACATAACCGCCCAGACGTTATAAGCTACACATAGAAATAGTAGCTGACAGGTTCACTTGAAAAGCGCACAAACGGTTCACAGTAGCAAAGGCGTCTTTGTTGTTTTCAGGTCGCGAGTCCTAGAGACTAAGAGTTCATTCCTCTCAAAAGTACTCTTCTTCCATGGAGACGGCCAATGGTAACCATGACATGCATGACAAGAAGCGGTCTCATTTCTTCATGTTGCCCAAGATCTTGAGCGACTGGAGCCTAAGCAGCAGGTCGCCCGACTCCAGGAACACCTTTTTGTTGGAGGCTGAGATGATGTGGGCAATGTCCCTGGCGGCTGCAATCTGCCTGAGCGCGAGGAACGCAGGGTTATTGGCGATGACACTACCAATGAGCAAGACGCATCAGTGTTCAGATACAGAAAGACGCGTCAGTGTTAGGATCAGGTGCTCTGAAACTCAACAAGCAAAATGTAGAAGACAACCAGTGTTGGCCTCAAGTGCTACCAAACTAAGCAAATGTAAGGAAATATACAAAGCTATGAAGATATAAACAACACTAGCAATATGCCTCTACTAACTACCACTGGATGACTGGAAGTGACACTATCAACATAGAATAAGTCTGAAACTACGGTCAGTTGTATGAACATACCACTGGAAGTCTGAAACTATATTCAGTCGTATGAACATACCACTGGAAGTCTGAAACTATGTTCTGTCATACCAACATACTACTGGAAGTCTGAAACTATGTTCAATCGTACAAACATACCACTGAAAGTCTAAAACTAAAGTATGGACATAGCAATCCAATCATCATATGAAATGTACAAATTTACTAGAGCCAAGCTCAAGCGCTCCCAAACTCAGCAAATGCAGGGACATATATGAAGATATGAAGGGCCTGTTCGGTAACACTCCAGCTCCGAACTCCACGACCGGAGCGTGCCGAACGCATCAGCTCTGCGAATCTGTCGCGGGAGAGCGGAGCGGCGTGCAGTGCAATTTGACCGAGCGGCATGACCCTCGCTCCTCATTTCAGCAGAAGCAGGATCTGATCGAAATTACAAAATGTGCCACCGCCAAGTGCCACAAATGAAACGGTACGAATCTATTTTCTCCAGCGTGAGCAGTTGGTGCTCCACTCATGGATTTTCTTACCCACCTGAACAGCCCATACTTGACTGTAATGCGCTGCCAGCCCACATTCTCACGGAGCGGAGCCAGCCGAACACAGGCGCTCCATCGGGAGAGCGCTTCCTGCGGGGAGCAGAGCGGAGCAACAGGTTTTTATGGAGTGGAGGGTTGCCGAACGGGCTCGAAGACTTAAACAACACTGGCAATATGCCTCTACTAACTACCACTGGAAGTCTGAAAAAAGGTGAAACCGTATGGAAACTATGTACCATAAACTCAACAGATGGAATGTACATTTCTACCGGTGTTTGGCTCAGATGCGCTACCAGTGTTAGGCTCAAATGCGCCAAAACTCAACAAGTGTAACGGAATATATGATGAAGCTATGAATACATAAAGAACACTGGCAATATGCCTCTGGTAACTATGATTGAAACCATAAACAGGATAAGTAGGTTTAGTAGTGTGAAAGAGAAATATCTAATTCCTGTTTTGCTTACCTGTGCCCTGACAATTGCACTTCTCTTGTCTTGCTCAGCCTTCTCAACAATGAACTTGGCACGCTCAGCTTTCTGAGCAGCAACCTGTTTGGCTTCAATGGCATGAGTGAACTCTTTACCAAAGCTGAGACTGGTAATGGACACATCATCCAGAGCAATGTTGAAATTCTTTGCCCTCTCTGTCAGCACCTTCCTGATCTCCCTGCTCACGGCCTGCCATTACATGAAGGATAAGTTAGTAACATATTTCAAGTAAGACCAGCATCTACTATAGCATGGAAAGCATGTACACACAGCAAACATGGTGAAGCTGTACCTCTCTCTGTGTGATTAGCACTGTATTGGGCAACCACAGCTCTGGGTGTTTCATGAATGATTGAAGGCAACACTCTCTCCTTATAGTTCTATCCCAGTGGGTCCTCTACATAGTTGGTGGTCTCTGGCATTGGTCGTGTAAGAACACGGGGACTAATTCTCACCTGTCCAAATTATCAAGCGGTATCAAATATATGCAAGGAACTGCCGTGTAAACGCTACTTTCAAAAAGAAAAGAAGCGCATGGCCACTAGCAAATCCACATAGTCAGAATGATATAACTTCTTCAGCATCAGCCAACCATCTTAAATCGTCACGGTGGCATATAATGACGAAGCAAAAAAAAGGTACTTGTTACTGCTGTTGAGATATCAAAGCGAATGAGTTGAAATGCATATTCACAGGCAATATATTATGTTGACCACTGTTAATAAATTAAAAGCAAATTAGCCACAATACATATTCACAGAGCAGTAGACACTAGACAGTGCATATGGTACAATGCCGTAGGATTTCATAGATCAGCTGACATGGGTTGCATTGAAATCCAAATGAGTCAACCAAAATTGACTCCATCAACGACAGGTATGCGGTAGCAGCTGTTGTCACAGCAACCGGAAACTACACATTACGTGTACCAGACGCCACCCACCTATCAAAATTGATAAACACTTCAGATGTGTCCAATCCTATTACAGGGCTCGGAAATGACAATGCGACGACCCTTTACATGTATCAGACCCCATCAACCTGTCCAATTTGCTATATGCACGACCCTGTTACAGTCTACAATTACACAATATGCTCAGAAATGACAATGTCAAAGCCCTTTACTTGTACCAGACCCCAACCACATGTCCAAATCGCTCGCAAATTAATCACTTCACATGTGTCTGAACCTCAAACAGGCTACACTTGCACAACATCAACATGGACAACTAAAATCGAACCCTCTTAAACATGGATTTGGCTCCCAGGTAAGCAATAAATCATGCATCTGTTCTAGGCGACGAGGCATCGAGACAGGAGAACGTTACCAATCCCGGCTCCCGAAGGTGTTCTCCACCAGCTTGGGTTGGGTCGTGCGCAGACGTCGTAGATGATCGGCTTCTGGAGCCACTGATGACGATTTGGGTCCCCTCGGCGTACACCTGCACGGAGCAAACGCCCAAGGGCGACCAGAAATCAACCACGGACCAATCGCGCAGAAAACAACAGCGAGCAAGCAAAGCCATCCAAGGATCGGCCCGAGGGTTACCTTTTGCTTGATCCCCTCGAGGCGCTTGAAGACGACTTGTGGCGGGTCTTGTTGCCCCGCGCCGCCCAGCAGCCCGAGCCTGACCAGCGCGCTGGACCCCGCCGGAGCGCTCGGCGTCCGCGCCCCCATTGAAGTTCGTCGCGATCGCTGGCTCGCCGGAGTGGGGAGGGGCGGCGGAGGCCGGGGTTTAGCTAGGGTTTACTCGGCCGATTTGGGGGAGAATGGGATGGGGAGGAGGAGGAGGCGGGCCGAGGAAGAGGTAGATGGGTCCGGGCCGGAGATCGGGGACGCCCGATTTCAAACGGACGGCACGGATGGGAGAGTCGGGCAGCGCTGGGCCGCCGGCTTCCGGTTCCGGCGCAAGATAGTCTTGTGCTCATGACTCGTGGGTCCCGCACGTCAGGAAATGGTTTTGGGGCTCTTTTTTTCTCGCGTGTGACCGGCCGACTCGCGCAGGTGTAATTGCAACACGCGGGGCTGGATCAGATCGGACGGCCTCCGTGAATTCCCATCCACCACGAAAGAACCATGGCCGTCCGATGAAGCTCACCTGCTCCCTCTGTATTAATACCACCGCCGCATCGGAATGGCTCCAATCACTTTCACTTCTCGGAGCCACCTCCTCCTCCTCCACGCTCTCCTCGTCGCGCGTCTCCCGCCACCGCCTTCCCCGGAGAGACCCCCGCCGGCGTCGATGGGCAGAGGAAAGTAAGCCCTCTTTCCCCTCGCGCGTTGTGCACATCTACTGCTCAGCTGCTCTGTTTCGCGCATGACGGATTCGATTTGTTTGCTTTGGCGCGGCGCATGCGACACGGAAAGGGGCACCAGAGGAAGGTCGAGTGCAAGGACGGCAAGGCGCACCGCCCGGCATTCCAGGTGAAGAACGCTGCGCTCGGGAGAGTGCACGGGACCGGGTACGACCCCGTCCGCGCCCTCATGGCCGAGCTCGAGCTGTTGGCCCTAGAGAGGGCGGCGGCGGCCATGGAGGAGGCAGCGGCAGCGGCAGCGGCTAGGGAGGAGGAGGAGGAGGCGGCGGCAGCCAGGGAGGAGGAGGAGGCGACAGCCGCCCTCGAGGTTCCCGCCGACGAGGCTGCGGCGGCGGCTGTGGGGCAGGATGATAGACCTACTTGGGTCGTGTAGGCTAGATCTTTCCGGTAGACCTACCTTCTGCTGGTGCAGACGAACTCGATCCAGCGCCGGCCATGGTGAAGTAGGGGCCGGTGATGGCAGAGAGATGGCGGCGGTGGTGGAGCTTCCCGTGAGCGCCGCGCTAACCCTAGATCGGAAGGGATTGTCGGTGGGGTTTGTGGCAGCGATTAACCTCGTAAGTCGTGCCCCGGCCCCCACCTCTGTTTATATAGCGCGGGTCACAGGGGGCCACCAACCATAGTTTGGTTGGGCGCCCCCGATCAGGGCGCGAGTCAAGGGCCCGTTCAACCCGTTGGGTTCGAACGGGATAGAGATCAACCTAACATTCTCCCCCTTGATCTTAACTTTACTTTTAACTTTATACTTTCTAGTTTATTTGTTTCATCACATATTGATACATAGAGCATGTTTCATCGTCATAGCTTAATCGCCGTTAGAATCATACAGCTACAACATACGTTATGTTCAGAAGCAAATTCTGTTCCTTTTGGGCCTATCCAGAAATCATAAGGCTTTCCCTTAAACCCATGTCGGCTAAGTGTTCCTTGAACACATTGGGTGGTAAGTCTTTCGTTAGCGGATCCGCAAGCATATCCTTGTCCTTATATGCTAGAAACTTATAGTTTGATCCTGGATTTTATCTTTCACAACATAATACCTTATCTCTATTGTTTTGGCAGCATTACTCAACTTGTTGTTGTGAGCGTAAAATACTGCGGGTTGGTTGTCGCAGTACATCTTTAGTGGTTTGTGAATACAATCTACCACTTTCAAGTCGGGTACAAATTTCTTTAGCCATATCGCCTGCCCCGTGGCTTCGAAGCATGCTATAAATTCCGCATACATCGTGGATGATGCAACTATCGACTGCTTGGAGCTTTTCCACGAAATAGCTCCCCCAGCGACAGTGAAGACGTATCCTGACGTGGATTTTCTATCATCTTTGTCCCCCGCAAAATCTGCGTCTGAATACCCTTTTATCTCTAGGGAATCACTTCTCCTGTATATTAGCATGTAGGCCTTCGTGCCTTGCGCATAACGCAATGCTTTCTTTACCATCTTCCAGTGCTCCATGCCTGGGTTCTCTTGATATCTACCGAGTACCCCGGTGATAAAAGCTAAGTCAGGACGAGTGCACACTTGTGCATACTGTAAGCTGCCAGCTGCCGAAGCATATGGTACTGCTTTCATTTGATCGATCTCGTACTGGTTCTTGGGACATTGAAATTTCCCGAAACTATCGCCCTTGACTATAGGAGCAGGTGTGGCTTTACTCGCATGCATATTATACTTTTTAAGAACCTTTTCTAAATATGCTTTCCGCGATAGTCCTAAGACTCCATTGTTCTTGTCTCGGTGAATTTCTATGCCCAAAACATATGATGCTTCACCAAGATCTGTTATGTCAAAATTTGAGGATAAGTATTTCTTTGTTTCTTGTAGTAGACTAACATCACTGCTAGCAAGCAGGATATCATCCACATACAAGATTAGGAAAATATATTTCCCATTTTTAAACTTTGCATAAATGAAATTATCCTCAATATTTTCTTTAAATCCAAAACTTTTAATCGTTTGATTAAACTTTAGATACCACTGCCGAGAGGCTTGTCTTAATCCATAAATGGATTTCTTCAGGCGGCATCCCATATTTTCCTTGCCTTCCATGATAAAACTCTTGGGTTGTTTCATGTAGACCTTTTCTTTTAAATCACCATTCAGAAATGCCGTCTTAACATCCATTTGATGTAATTCTAAATCAAAATGAGCAACTAACGCCATTATGATTCTAAAGGAATCCTTACATGAGACTGAAGAAAATGTCTCATTGTAATCTATCCCTTCTCTTTGTGTAAATCCTTTTGCCACGAGTCGTGCTTTATACTTTTCTATATTCCCTTTAGAGTCATACTTAATTTTGTAGACCCATTTACAGCCTACTGTTTTGGCTCCTTTAGGAATTTCCTCTAAGTCCCAAACATCTTTGGAACTCATCGATTTCATCTCGTCTTCCATTGCCTTCATCCACTTCGATGAATGAGGGCTTCTCATGGCTTCTTCATATGAGGTGGGATCTTTTTCCATATGAACCATTTATGTGTTATAAACTTTAAAGTCAATAGAAATAGCTGACTTTCTTGGTCTTGTAGACCTTCTAAGGGCCTCAATTTCTGGCACATTCTGTGCCTCAACTTCTGGCACTTCTTCTAAAATTTGTTGTTGCACCTCCCTTTCATGCTCAACAACGGGTTCAGTCGGCTCCTGACGGACAGGTTCCGAGTCTACCCCCATAGCTGTTATGGGTGGAGTTGCAACTGGTAGTGAGAAAAATGGCTCCGGAATCATCGGATTAGGTGCATGCACCCTCTTCTCCTCAAGATCAATTTTCCGAGCTACCAAACTCCCCCTCATCATTTCGTTCTCAAAGAAGACTGCATGTCTCGTTTCTACAAACTTTGTATATCTGTCTGGGCAGTAGAAATGAAAACCTTTTGATCTGTCTGGATAGCCAATGAAGTGGCAACTTACTGTTTTGGGATCTAACTTTGCAATGTTTGGATTAAACATTTTGGCCTTAGCAGGGCACCCACACACCCTGAAGTGATGTAGGGAAGGCACCCTTCCTGTCCATAGCTCATACAGTGTTTTGGGCACCGACTTGCTTGGTACTCTATTGAGAATGTGAATGGCGGTTTTAAGCGCCTCCATCCATAATCCCAATGGCAAGTTGGAATAACTCATCATGTTGTGCACCATATCCATAAGTGTACGGTTGCGCCTTTCAGCTACTCCATTTTGCTGAGGTTCACCCGGCAATGAATAATGGGCAACTATGCCAGTCTCCTGTAAGAACTTTGCGAAAGGTCCAGGGACTTGGCCATATGGAGTGTGCCGACCGTAGTACTCTCCCCCACAGTCGGACCTTACTATCTTTATTCTTTTATCATGCTGATTTTTAACTTCAGCTTTGAATATTTTAAATTAATCCAACGCTTCAGATCTTTCTCTGATTGGATAAATATAACCATAGCGATAGTAATCATCTGTGAATGTTATGAACGAGTCATATCCATCCACACTTTTCACCGGAAATGGTCCACAAATGTCAGTGTGGATGATTTCTAGTGTGCTTGTGCTATGGATTGCACCTTTTTTGATTTGTTTTATATACTTTCCTTTAATGCAATCTACACATTGTTCTAAGTCTAAGAATTCTAACTGTGGAAGAATTTCACTTTTGACTAATCTTTCTATTCTCCCCTTCGAAATATGGCCTAAGCGACAGTGCCATAATTTCGATGAGTCAAATGTTCTCTTTCTTTTCTTTTGTTCTTTATTCGACGCGGAAACATGTTCATTCACATTGCATACAGAATGCACTTTTTCACGAAGTGATAACAAATAAAGCTCATCATGTAGTAAAGCATTACCCACATAAGCATTATTATACCATATGGCACACTTGCCATGTCCAAAATAACACTCATAATTTTCTTTGTCCAAACATGAAACACTAATTAAGTTTCTATTACATGAAGGAACATAAAGAACATCTCTAAGTAGAAGCTTGAATCCATCAGCTAACTCCAAGGAGATGTCGTCGACAGCTTCAACTTCCGCTTTAATTCCATTGGCTACTTCAATGCCTCCTTCTCTTCTTAGCGTAGTCTGGGTCGAAAGGAATCCCTTTAAACAATTTGCAACATGAACAGTTGCCCCTGAGTCAATCCACCAAGTAGATTTCGAAAATTGTGTGTACAAGGATTCATTAACTAAGGAAACAATGTTGTTACCTTGCTTTGCCATTAAGGACTTCAGCCAAACAGGGCAGTCTTTCTTGTAATGCCCGGTCTGCTTACAGTGGAGACAGGTGTCTTTGTCCACTGGGAAAGGTTGTTGCTGACGCTGATGCTGATAGGGAGCTTTTCCTTGTGGCTTTGAAGGAGAACTTTTGTTGTTTTGATTGTAGTTCTTTTTCT